AGCTGCAGAGAAGCTCCGAGCGCTTCTTGTCGTTGAGGAAGCATCCTCCGACACTCAGTGAGGAGATCGTACCTGTATCAGTGCTGAGAGCGAGAGACGAGGGAAGGGAGAGACGAGGGGAGAGAGAAAGACGAGGGGAGAGAGAGAACCGAGGGGAGGGAGAGAAGGGGAGTGAGAGGTGTGGGGAGGGAGGAGGATGGCAGGGGTTATCATGCAGGATTGGGGAGGATTGGGGAGGAGGAGGGGGACAAAGAAGTTTTACCTCGTCATATCGCTCCTCATAAAACTCTGAAGGAATTGTGAGATTGGAGAAGTGAAAGGGAAAAACTGAGAAAAGATGGGCAAATAAGAGATGATGATGATGATGATGATGATGATGATGGTGATGATTACAACGACGACAACGATGACGATGATGATGATAGTGGATGGGAGGAGTTCACCTGGTAGCTGCTGGTGAGGACGAGGACGACGAGCTGGTCGGGGTTGGTTTGCATCTTCTGTATCATCATCTCCCCCATCGTCGATGTTCTATCCAGCACTTCCTGCCCTGCTGATCGAAGAGGCTTCCGCTCCATGTCCTCCTCCTCCTCGCTCGACATGTCGCTCTCATCCTCCGTCCCCCTCTCGTCGTGCACGTGCCTTGTCCTAAGGCTGCAGGAGAGAGCAGAAACGTTCTCCTCTGTCACCGGGATGGCCTTGAAGGAAACGTTGACGGAGTTCCGGCTCGTCTCCGCGTCCTCCGCCCCATCCTCCCTGCCCCGCACGTCCCCATCCTGTCGGTCATAGTCCGAGCCAGACTGCATGATCGCCTGCTCGTCATAGTCGTTGGCAACCACGAGGATCTCGGCAGGATGGATCTCGACGTCTGGACTTGCAGGAGCAGCTGGCGACATGGCGCTGGAGGAAGGCATGGCTACCAGCAACCGCAGCTCGCAATCAAGTCCTTGCTCAAGGGACGAAAGTCGGGAGTCTTACTATCTACTCCCCTTCCCCACTCCTCCTCCTCCTCCTCTCCTCTCCTTTTACTCTTGCCTTCCAGTCCTCTTGTCCTGTCCTGTCCTCTTCCTCCTCCTCCTCCTCCCCTACTATCCTGCACCACCACCTTTCCCCAGTCGCCATCAGGCGGTCGTAGGGTAACCACGAAGATGGACGACCACAGGCTGGCCCCACAGGCGAAAATGCAAAAATGAGCCGGAAAATGAGCGAGGGAACGCGCGTGTGAGGGGAGGAGCACGTGAGGGGGCAGAGGATGTGTGGACTCTGACGCTGCAGCTGATTGCTGGAGGAGGAGGAGGAGGAAGAAGAAGAGGAGGAGGAGCAGGAGCAGGAGCAAGGAGCAAGGAGCAAGGAGCGAGAGGAGCAGGAGCGCACCTGAGGAAAGGGGAGGGAAGGAAGGGAAGGGAGGGGAGAATCGCGGGGTGCATCAAGAGGAGCAAAGGAGCTGGCAGGGAGGAAAGGAGCGGAGATGGACAGAGGTTGGTAGAGCTGAGAAGAGGTGAGAAAGGGGACGGGCAGGACCGAAAAAGCGAGTTTGAGGTGGGGGATCCGCTGAAGGGAAGGTTGAGCGACCAAGGAGAGGCCACTTCAGTGATGCACTGACGAACCTGAAGACCGATCACGAGGAGCGAGGAGGAATAAAGGAGGAGCGAGAAGCGAGAAAAGGAAGAGCGAGGAGAGAAGCGAGGATCTGCGACAAGGCTGTTTCTAGTCCGGAGATGACTAAACGATCATCTAACGACTTGCGAACGGAGGGGGAGGACACAGCGGGCGGTGCCATGGTGGATGGTCAGAGTGGAAGGGAAGCAGCAGAGGCCAGCCCGAGGAAACGTGCGAGGAGTGGGGAGCAGAGAGAGGCGGCGGCTCGGAGAGACCATGCAAATCCCATGGGAGAGATGCCTTCAAGCGACGTGAACGGATGGAAGGAGACGAAGGAGGAGAGCGAGGAGGAAGACGATGAACTGGACGAGGATGAGAAGCTGGAGGAAACGATCTTGCAGCTCTCTGCTTACATCACTGTCGTCGCCTCCCACCTGCTTTCCAACAGCTGAGATGCCGCTGGGAAGCACAACAACATCTCCAGCTCCAGCTCCTTTCCTCGGAGTGACTGCCTTCTTCGAGCAATCGCAAGTACGCGCAGCATGTTAGCGTTCCGAGGATGCGCAACGAACTTTTGAGTTGCGATATCAGAAAGGTAGACCAATAGTGCATGTGGGGATATTGAATCTACAGGAGAGAGATTGAATCTACAGGAGAGAGATTGAATCTACAGGAGAGCCGTTCAATCTACAGGAGAGACGTTCAATCTGCAGGAGAGACGTCGTTCAATCTACACGAGAGACGTAGTTCAATCTACAGGAGAGAGATTGGATCCAAGTCTACAGGAGGGAGATTGAACCTATAAAGAAGAGGGAGATTGAATCTACAGGAGAGAAGTTAAGTCTCACGGTAATGAAACAAGTGTCAAGATGTATCGGAGGCTCAGTACTGTCGATCCATGATGCGTTCAAAAACAGTCACATGGACACAACTTGGCACCGCAAAGACTCGCGGCGACGGAGGGAGATTGACCTTACCCGCTTCCGGCGATGCAGTGGACTAGTAGTACGCCGGGTGAGACGGTCCGGGCATTCGGATTGAACTTCGCCGCTGAACCGTTTCCACCGTGACTGGCACTGACTCAGTCAGCGGCGGCGGCGGTCGGCGGGCGGCCCGGCCGGGGCCGACCGTCACCGCCGTACGTGACGGTGCCAAGCCTGAGGCCGGGCTCAGAGCCTCGCCGCTAGTAGGCCCCGCGGGCCGTACCGTGGCTACCGTACCGTAGGCCCTCAGGCTAGGAGGGGCCCGCCGCCGGCCGCGCGGCGGTTTCCTCGGACTGAGTTCCCGGAGTCACTGAGTCCCGGAAGTTCAACCCGGCGTCCGAAGTCACCAAGTTCACGCCTCGGCTCGGCCCGGCGGCGCCGCGCCGCGCGGCCCGGCCCGGTACCGTCCGGTACGTGACTCACTGAGTCACCGGGCCCGTCACCGGGAGCGGCGCAGTCCGACGGAGTCCGATCACCGGAGCCCGGCCTGGCCACCCCGGCCGGCGGTGGCAGTGCCGCCGCCCGGCCGCCCGCCGCAGGACTCCATGCTCCACCGCCGGGGCCCGGGGCCCGGCCCACCGTCACGGCAGTGATGTCACTGTCACCCGCCGGCGAAGACGTGACTATTCACTCAAAGTTAAGTTAAAAAACTGGTAGTGACCGAAGGTACTGAAAGGGACTGACAGGGATCCCTAGGGTCCCACTCGGAATGCTGACGTTCGATGGGAAAAGGGGGGGGTCATTGTGAGGTATCTAGTGGGTGACGGTAGTAAAGTTATAATTCCGAGGGGTAGAGTGGGGTCAATGAATCACAGGGAGTTACAGATCTATTTTCGGATTCAGCAGGGGTAGTAAGGTTGGGAAAGGGGGTAGAGGTGAGGTACTTTCCTTGTACAGAGGGGGTAGTGGGGTAGTTTGGTGGGGTCCTGAAGACTGGTTCCTTACGGAACGGGGTCCTCAAAAAGTTTGCAATGAAAATGAATTCAATTTTTAAACTTTTTCGCATACCTCACAATCAAATGTTGAAATTTGAATATGCAACATTTTCAAATCGGAACAGCAAAGTTTGTTGGGGGGTAATGTATGCGGCACAAAGGATGGAAAGAACTGGGTGGGTGGGGAGGGGTGAGACTACAGCAGGGGTGGAGAGATGGGAATCAATGGGTACTGCGCTATGAACTAGGGGTACCTGGGTAGGAGTTTGATGTGGGTGGGGTGGTACAGATTCATGGTTTAGACAGAAGAGTGTATGGATGTTTGGAACAATCTACTCGATGCAGGAGGGAGGGAGGGAGGGAGGGAGGGAGGGAGGGAGGGAGGGAGAATGTTTGAGGTAGGCTCTTGTCGAGATAGTCGAGATGATCAACATGACACGTGAAGATTTCCGTCAGTGACGAAAGCAATCTTAAGCATGAAGTTTTGTTCCAAAGAGAAGAAAAGGATTTCTATTTAAACTCGTAGAGGTGGCATATAAACTGCATCGTTGAAATTGAGATCGAGTTTGGAGACGATTCTTGCTATGTTAACATGCTCCCCTTGTATGTGGCTTTTTGAATTGGGGTAATACGATCGGAGCAGCTTTGTTTTGAATACACGAAAGCCGGCAGCATTACCTGTTGACAAGTTGAGGGGAAGGTAGAGATGTTTGCAATAGGTTATGTCAACGTTGTTTTGTTGTTTGATGATGAGGATTATGAACGAAACAATATGTTTCAAGAACAGAAAGGACGGAAGGTAGACCTGCCGGCCTTTGTAACACTGTTTTGGTAGCAGGAATGGGCCAGCGTCGCAATGCCTTGGTGGGTACATCAGGAGTGAACATCAATAAAGTCAGAGCAGGTTGATAGTTGAGACGTTGAAGGTATGCCTTTCTATCTCTATCTCTATCTCTATTATTTGCGTTGTTGTGTCTGCCGGTGTGGATCTTGTTTCATCCTCTCAGTCCTGTGAACTCTTTCCTGTAGCTCTTGAGATCCACGTTGTCGTGAAAGTGAACTTTGACTTGTTCTGTTGGTCAGGCCCATACATCATGCTCTGATATTCAAAGAGGGACCACCATGGCGCATACCGGCATCCTCCAGTCGTTGTTGTTTGTATTCATCTTCGCGTTTCCAGTGCTGTCACTGGATGTTGACCTCAAGTCGACTGACATCTCCAAGGATGCGGCGCAGATGAGACTGAGGCTCAAGTCCGCTCTCAGCAACCAGAACTCGGGGTTGGATGAAGTAGAGCGAATCCTCTCCTCTCCTCTCACCCCAGCCAGCGATCAAGCCTCTCAGAAGCTTTCGCAGAAGCTGCTCGCGCGGCAGCAGCTCTCAACACATGCGACAGTGCAGCAGCTTGTCCAGCATGGCAGGCGCCCCGACAAGACCCTGGCAGTCAACCAGAGACAGGCTGAGCATCCGGCGCAAGAGAAAGGCTCCGAGGAGCCGGAGGGAGGGCTCGGAGTCGTGATGAGGTGGAAGAAGGAAAGCAGGTCCAGGAGCGGCGCTGCTCCTCGTGGAGGCTCAGACCCGTCCATTTCTTTCGGAGTGCCGCAGGAGCTGGGATCGAAGAAGCGAGCAGAGGAGGAGGCGGCCGCGTTTGCTCGGCTGACAGCAGGAGCGCGCGATCCCGAGGCAGAGGCGAAACGAAGGCTGCAAAAGAAAGCAGAGCGAGAGTCGTACGAGAGGGCTACCAACGAGGCGATGATATGGAAAGACATCAAGGCTGCCATGAAGCACGCGACCTCGCACACGGTCCAGATCAACCGGGGCGGGCTGGCGGGGGAGGTCAGTTCGCTCGCCTCCCTCAGCCCAGACAAGGCGGCGAAGGTGCTGGAGAAGATGTCGCAGACTGAAGGCAGCGCTGTGCTCGGGGCCCTCAAGAGCATCGACCCTGAGCAGGTGAAGCTCATCTTGTCGGCTCTTGGAAACCAGCAGCATGCGGATGCGCAGACCATGAAGAAGGTTGCGAGAGGTTCTGCCAAGCGAGACAAAGCTCCGTCGGTCATCGCGACCCTCACAGACTCCAGCGACCTTCCAGCAGGAAACTCCTCTAACACCCCAGGCGCAAACAGCACGTCTGGCGGGGAAGCGGAAAACAGTCAATTTGACATGTCGACGGTTAGACGTTTTGACCCGGGGGAGAGCCTGTCCTTCGTCGAGGTGCAGTCGGAGACTTTCTCCGTCTCCTACGCAGATCGTTCAGTGTTGACAGGCTACGTGTGCAAGGACATAGTCCAGCTCGGGCACTACTATGCCATGACGAGGCTCGGGTGCGCACTTGACTGCAACGATCCGACGTTCAACGGCATCGACGGCATCCTGGGCATGGGCATGCCTGACGCGGCGATCGCCAGCATCCCCACGCCGCTGATCTTCGCCATCTCCAACGACAGGGGGGGGCTAGAGGGCGCCAACTACATCAACGAGCGCCCCATGCACCTGCGAAAGTTCGCGTTCCTGTCAACGGCAGACTCTGGTGAGCTGCAGCTGGGGGGATACGACAGGGCGAGCACGGACGCTGACATGGTGTACGTGCCGACGACTTCGACGACTGAGTACTCGGTGAGAGTTCAGTCGCTGAGCTTCGGAGGGATCGAGCTGCTGGACTGGATCGACAAGTCAGTGGAGCAGGCGCTGCCTGCCATCATGGACACAGGGACCACGTGCCTCGTGATCCCCGACACGCTGCTGGAGGGGAGAGTGAGCGACCGGCCGTACAGCAAGTTTAAGAACATCATGACCAAGGTCAGGGAGGGACAGAGGAGGAGGAGGGGGAGGCTGGAGGGGCGAGGAGGAGCAGATGACATGAAGTGTGACTGGAAGTGGGCCGGAGGAGGAGAGTCCTGAGAAGGGTTTTTTTTTTTTTGTAGGGGGGGGGGGGGGGGAGGAGTTTGGGGAGGAGAGACTGACAAGGGAGGCAGGGGATGTCGTTCTACATTACCATTGATGGCCATCTCTTTGAGATCCCGTACGAGTTCTGGTGGCAGAAGGAGAACAACGCTCCCTGCGTGCAGAAGACTCCCTCCTCCTATGCAGGTCCTCCCCTCCTCCTGCCCTCTCCTTGTACCTTTTTCTTCTCCTCCTGCCCTCTCCTTGTACCTTTTTCTTCTCCTCCTGCCCTCTCCTCCTACCAATCCCTCCTCCTCCTCTCCCAGCATTCCATCTTCGCTTCTTCTCTTCTGATCTTCTCTGTAGGAATTCTTCTTGGCGATGTTGTCTTCCGCTCTCTCGTTGTTGAGTTTGATCTCACAAAACCCAAGGTCAGCTCTACCACTCCCCATCCTCTATCCTCACCTCTTTCCCGTTCTCCCTCCCGCTCCCGCTCCCTCTCCTCCAACCCTCTCCTGCTCCTCCCCCTTCCCTCCTTTATCTGCCTCGTCTTGCTGTCTCCTCTCACTTGGCTCGGCTGCAGGCACCCATGATCGGCATCGCTCCCCGGAATCCGCGTTATGTCCCTATTGCTCCAGGTGCTTCTTCGCTCCTTCCGTCCTCTTCTGCTGTCACTGCGCATCGTCCTCCTCTTCTTCGACTTCCTCTTCCTCCTCCACCTGTACACTCTCTCTCCTCTCTGGATCCCTTCTCCTCTTTTCCTTCCCTCATCCCCTTCCTCCTCTTCTACGCCATCTTTTGGTCTCTCGTGTTACATGGCGTCTTTTCCTCTTCCCTTGTCTGGCTCCTCCTGCAGCCGCTGACGGTATCTCCTGCAGGAGAGCAAGACGAGCTGAAGTTACCGATCGTGAAGCAGCACCGGGGCGAGATCGAGGTGGAGGAGAGCGCCGACGACGCGGCCAGGTTGGAGGAGGAGGAAGAAGAAGAGGAGCGAGAGGAGGGCATTAGTGCGACAGGGAGGATGGGGAAAAGCACAGGGAGGGAGCAGGAGGAGACGAAAGAGGATGTGGCTGAAGCAGCAGCAGGAAAGGAATCGATCACGTTGCGGTGGGGATGAATCGCATGAGAACTCAATACTTCTGCAATGTGTCCGTCGGTTCCCCTAGACAGGTCAGTAGCCTTCAGTTGTTCTAGTCCCTCCCTCCCCTCGCTCCACCTTCCCTCCGTTTCCCCTTGACGTTCCGTCTTGTCTCCTACCTTGCTCCTTTTCCCTTCCTCGCTGTTCCCCTTCCTTCTTGCTCCCTTCTCCTCTCTCCCTTCCTTCCTCCCCCCCCCCCTTTTCTCCCTCCCTCACTTTCTCTCGCTTGCTCACACTCATCGCTACTTCAGAGCTTCACTGTCCTCATCGACACTGGCTCCAGCACCCTCGCCATTTTCGCCAAACTTCCGCCCAATCAGGGAGGGCTGGCGATCTCTAACAGCGAGATCGATGCTCGCCTCAAGGTTCGGGAGGAGGGGGTGGGGGGGGAGGGGGGGATGAAGGGACCTTGGACGGAAGGGGGAGGGGAGAGGGGTCGAGAAGGTGCGAGGGGGGCGGGAGGAGGAGGAGAAGGAGAGGAAAGGAGGAGACAGCCGGCCTCACTCTTGTCGCAGGAGGCCAAGAGACATCTTCTGCGAAGGGACGCGGCGTCGCTGACCCTGCGGATGGGGGAGGAGATCGAGCGGAAGGTGAGAAGGCGAAGAGATGCAGCAACTTGAGCGAGTTTGGATGCGAGAGGAGGAAGAAAGAGAGATAGGACATGAGTAGGAAGCGGGGAAGGAGTTGAGAGGAGGAGGAGGGAACGGATATCTAACGTGTCGCAGGAGGAAAAGAAGCACAAGGAGCACGAGCGGATGGAACGAGAGCGAGAGCTGGACACTGTTGGAGCAACAAACTTCGAGATGAGATGGTGAGAGCAGGAGGAGAGAAAATGCGAGAGAGTTGAGAATGGGGGGAGAAAGATACAAGGAGTGCCGGAGGGAGAACGAGGAGAGGAGAAACACGGTCTGACAGCTCTTTCAGGGCGGATCGATCGCGCAAGGAGGCCATGCAGCTATCGCTTCCCAGCAGCATGGACCGTCAGGGCTCGTCCCTCGAGCTCATGTGGAGCAGGAGAACTCAGCGTCCTCCTCATCAGCAGCAGGTAGTTCCTGTTCCTGCTCCTGTTGCCTCTGCTGACTGAGCGGCAGGATTCGATGCTCCTTCTCGCTGCAGGGGCTGCGAGTTTCGCGCTGCTCCTGCTGGCGCTGCTTGTCCGAGCAGCTCGAGCATCTCGAGCAGCTTCGCTGTAAATAGCTGGAGGCAGTCGAGGCCTCGTGTAGACTAGGAGAGGGCAGAGCAAGGGAGACGAACGTCCTTGTTCTCAGCTCACGCAAGATCAGCAAAAATTCAAAAGTTGACTCCTATCGACTCCTCCTTAGCACCTCTCTCCCTGCTTCCTCCTTCCCATACCCCCCTGTCCTCTCTTCTTCCTCCTCCTCCATGCGCATCTTCTCTTCCTCTCCAGCTCTAGCGAAGCTTCGAGTTCAGCAGCGAGTCCTCGATCGCGTTCGCACGTGCAAACTCAGCCCTGCAGCAGCTCAGGTCGAGTCCAGCTGGGGTTCAGCTCACCTCATGTAGGATCGTTTGCTCTTCTTCCCCGCGAGTGACACGTCAGCAGCATACATCGCCTTCCTCGCCCAGTCGCCCTTAGCCTTCCTGTGCTTGCTCGAGACGTGGTACTTGGTCGCTAGCCGCACGATAGACTTCATCTTCCTCTGCCATGAGGACGTTAATTGAAGCAGAGAGAAGGCAAGGGGAGGACCAAGAGGATGGAAATGATGATGAGGTTGGAAAGAAGGAGGGTGAAGGAAAGGAAGAATTTGGAGGAGGAGTAGCAGAAGGAGGAGGAGGGTCGAAGACGTTCAAAGGAGCTAAGGGGGAAAGTAATATGTCGCTTCTTCACCTTGGCCTCCTCAGCTTTCTTCTCCGCGGCCTCCTTGCGCAGTTTCTCTCGAGTGACGTCCTGCTCCGAGATCACAGGCTTTGCCTGCCCCTCATTCAGCATCCCAATCGCTCCTCCTCCCATGGCTCCTCCTGTCCTCCCTTCACCTCCTTCCCATTCTCCCATGATTCCCCACTGCCTCCACTCTCTCTGTCCTCCGTACACGAAGCTGCAGACCTCTGCTCTCTGTTCATACCCCCGCTTCCCCTCCGGCCTCATCCTGTTCTCCCTCTTCTTACTCACCCTCGACCCTGTTTGACTGTCGAGATACTTGACGAGGTTCATCTCCCCCTTCTTGTCCAGCAGCTGCGAGGGAGTGAGAGGAGGGAGGAGCAGAGGCGACGCTCGTACATCGTCTCCGTGCGACTTGTGATGAGCAGCCGAATGCTTCTAGCACAAAGTCAAAGAAAAGGAGGGGGAGGGGAGAGAAGCGAACAGGAGGCAGGGAGAGGTAGAAGGAAGGAGGGAGGAGAGCGAGGAGGAGTCCGATCAAGGAATACGGAAGAGGAGGGGGAGGGTATCAGGGAGGAGGAGGAGGAGAAGGAGGAGGAAACATGGAAGGGGAGGGAGGAGGAGAGAGAAGCGTGAAACGAATTCTTGAAGTACCTTGACTGGTGGATGTGCGACTGCAGTATGCTTGACGCTCTGCTTCTCATGTCAGTGTCGGCTGCACAGCATGGGAGGCAGTGCAAGAATCACCTTCTTACTGCTCACGTCCGAGGCGCTGATGATGAACTTGAGTTCGGCCTGAAGTTTCTTCTGCTGCTCTGCCTTCTTCATGTCCTTCAACTTCTGAAGGGAAACAATCAGAAGAGACGCATTTGCAAGTAGCGCCTTAGTTGCACATAACACCATCATCATCATCATCGTCGTCGTCGTCATCGTCATCGTCATCATCATCATAATCGTCGTCATCATCTCCATCCAATCTCACTGAGACTTCTCCTACCTGGATCTTCTTCGCCTGAACAGCAGCTGTCTTCTTAGTCTCCGTCTTGACCTTCTGCCGGTCCTCCTTCTGCTCCTTGAGGGCATCCTGAGAGACGTCAGGGACTGAGGCTCCGGCATGCTGCCTCCTCCACCTGGTATAGCTTCGCGTCCGAGAGAGACTCGTGCCGGGTAGGCATTGCGCTCGCGCTCCTCTTCTTCAGCTGCTGCTTCATGCTCGCGGCTTCCTTGCGCGCCTGCTGAAACTTCAGAGCCCTGAAGGCCCTGACTAGATGAGGAAGGGGGGGAGAAGGGCAGAGAAGAACGAGGAGGAAGAGTGAGACGGTAAGGGGGGAAAGGAAAGCTCCTGCTCAGACACCTAGGGAGCGGAGTGGGAAGTGAAATAATCAACAAAAAGGCTGGGACAGAACCACCACTGGAGCTCGTTTCCTCTGAGATCACAGCACCAGAACCTCTCCTGTTGCTCTACACCCTTCTCTCCCTTTCAGCCTGTGCATGCGCTCAACCGCGCCCTGTCACCCTGCCCTAGCTTACATGAAGGCAAGACAAACACTTCTTTGTGGTCGATTCAGGTCCCACCAAGCGTGTGAAAGGGGCAAGGAAGGAATGGAGGGGTGGGAGGGGAAATGGAGGGGGTCCTAAGTGCCTGGATGAGGGGTACCTTGATCTCGTCTCGCTGCTGCGCCTTCACAGCCTGACGAAGCAGGGCAGCATCGGACAGGTGCTTATGATGATGAACGCCCTCGTCGTGATCGATCTTCTCCCGCATGTCTCTCTTCGCCTTCTCCTCCTCCTTGAGCTTCTTCGCATGATCTCGTCGCTGTGATGCGAGGGCGGTCTCAAAGAGGTTCCCCGAGGACACAAGCACGTCCTGACGGCTCTCCATGGGGTGGATGCGGACCAAGGCAACCGCGGTCACGATGAGCAGCGCTGCTGTCGAGAGCAGCGCGAACCATGGTGATCGCTTGCGAGAGGAGGAGGAGGAGGAGGAGGACGCGGGGCTCAGAGCTGCGCGCGCAGGAAGCGCCGCCAGCGGCATAGCCATGCCAGCCATGCTGTCTCTTCGCCTGTAACGAATGCAAGGGCATGTAACGGTCAAATCTTGATGTAACGGCTCGTAACGACTTGCCAAAGAAAAACGGATTCCCAAATAGCAATTCAACCTGGTAGCTGAAAGAAATTGAAATTTTTCTTGTTGTTTTCAAAGATAAAGAATATTTTTTAGCATTGCTGGTCCCAGGATTGCTTGGGCCCGAACAGGATGCGCTATGAGAGTGACGAAGGAAAAAAAAAGAGCGAAAAAAGAAACACAAAGTGACTACTAGGAAGACAAGGAATAGAAGAAGAGTGACGAGACAGAGCGAAGCGATCGCTGTGTTAGACGATAGAGCTGTATGAAGGTGCGATGTGACAGCTCTGCCCTAGGACATGTACATGACATTGTAACTGGGTTGTTCACCACATGAACTTCAGAAAGCTCCTGCTTCTGCTCTTTACGACGAGATCAACTGCTGATGTGCTATGATATCTTGCTTTCAAAAACATGTGAAGAGAAGGTTTATGAGCCTGACTTCACGAAGCGCCCTAGTCTCCCACCCACCTGACTGTAAAATTCTTTGCAGGGCATTCCGTGGAGGGGATGGGCGGCTCCATCAACGAGATGGCTGTCTGCCTCGTCCTCTGCATGCTCTCAGTGTTGAACCTTGAGCAAGTTGATGGGCTGGTGATGCTTGTCCTGTCTTCCTCTCCTGCTCGCTAACTTGCCGATAGAACCAGAGCCGAGCAACGTCAAATCATGCAAACAAAAACATTCTTTTGGTCCATCCACCATATCCTTGAGCATAGACTAACACGCGTGTCTTGCAGGGGAGAAAAGCGCAGAAGCGAAACATAACCATCGTTCATGAGCGCCTTGGGAAGCGGTAAGAGGGAGGAGAGATGTGGCGGGGGGGAGGGGAAGACGAAGTGTGAAGGGGAGGAGAAGACGAAGGAGGAAGGAGCTCAAGAAGAGAGCTCTCAGATGGGACGACGTGCCAGAGAGTGAGATTGATGATGTGCTCAAAGACGATGGACCCAGACAGCTCAAGGTCTCTACCTCCACTCCCTGCTTCCTTTCTCCTCCTATCACCTGCACTTCCTCCGCTTCTTCCCCTATTTCTTCTCTCCGTGTTCGCCTCTGACGCCTTTCTCCCTTGTTGTCCACCTCCTCGACCTCAGTATGCCATGATCGTCCTGGCGAGTGTGGCGGGGACCGTGATTCTAGGAGGAGCGGGGGCAGTGGCGTGCTGTTGGCACAACAGGTGCTGCTCCTCCTGCTCCTTCTACTCCTTTCTCCTTTCCTTATCTTATCACTTGCTCGGCAGAGAGAGGGGCTTCAATCGAGCATCTTCAAAGTTCCAACAGGTTAAAACTCTCAATCAAGCACTGCTGTGGTCGATATCGCAGCTGTCGTCGATATCCCTTTTCATCCTCCACGTCTTTGCCGTCCAATGCCTCCTGCTCCTCCTGTAGTTCTAGAACACAAGAGTAGAGCTGTAGTTAGAGCACAAGTAGAGCAGTGGTCTACTTGTGCTCTAACTACAGCTCTACTCACAACCACTGCTCTACTTGATGCTCTACTTGTTCTCCTCCCGTTCTTGTCAAACTCGCTTGCTCCTCTGCTGATGGATTTCAACTCGCAGGATGGGAAGGATCCTTACAAGGGGCAAGGGGCGAAGTGGCTCCAGCAGCCTGTGTGATAAATAATTCAAACACCAAACGTTTTCGTCCTGTCTCTTCCTCTTCCTTCTCCTTTTCCTTCTCCTTCTCCTTCTCCTGCTCCTGCTCCTGCTCCTGCACACGTCACTTGGGGTTCCACATGCTGGGACACTCGCGATTATCCTTGATGGTGAAATTTGCCTGCCCGAACTTCTGCTTTCCTGTCGAGGACAGTGAGAAGAACAATGAAGAGTCACAATGGGAGAATGCCGCCCAAGGAAGGAGAGAAGGAGAAGGAGAAAGAAGCGTACTAGTGTTCTTCTGCCGTGTTGATTCCTTCTTCTTGTCAAATATCTCCTTTCGTGACAAGGCCGGGGCATCCGTTGGGGCTGTCGGAGGAGCCTCGACCGGCTTGTCTTCGCTCTCTTCCCGCTTCTTGTTTGAGCCACTGAGTGCAAGTCGTAAGTTTCACGTGATCACCACACACCTCAACGACCTCGCAGGCTCCGCAACTTTTCCATCCTCCAGCTCCTCCTCTTTCTCCTGCTCCTCCCTAGCCGCGAGGAACGAGGTCGTGGCGTTGGAAAGCGCGTCGAGAGGGTTCGGAAGCAGCCTGCGTTTCTTCTGCGCTGATTCAGCCTCCTCAAGATCCTTCGAAGTTTCTGACGCATCCCTCCCCTCTCCTCTATCCTTGTTCTCCGTCTCCTCTTCTTCTTCCTTGTCGTCATCGTCGTCGTCCTGTTGCCATGCTGGAGGAGGCTGGAACTCCTGCCCCTCCTCCATTTCCATGCTCGCACCGTCCGAGTCGCTCGAATACTCTGCAAAGCCTTCCATCGCCCCCTGACATCTCCTCGTTATGACAACATAGAGCAGCAACATGCGGTTTGAAGACGCAATAGGAGATCGGACTCGACTGAATTCAAGCAATCTTCACAAGAAGTTTCCAACAACAAAAAAAACGGGATGATAGCTGTTCCAGATTCAAATCCGCCCCTCTTTTTTCCTAGCAGCCACGATTCTTCCTTTAATTCTCCTTTCCTTCTCTTTGTTCCACTCAGGCACGTATGATGTATTCCTATCCTTCCCCACTGTACCACCCCTCGTCCTCTTGACTTTCAACCGACTGTTCATTGGCATGTCCCATATATAAGGTGAGCGCCTATCTGACCCCCCTACATCTTCTCATCATTACTTTTCACAGCCAACCCTCGTAATCCTTTGCCGTTTTGTGTTCTTCCGCTGCTGACTGACTGAAAACCGCATCCAAGAGATTCCTCTCGTATCTCAGTCACACATCCAAGCTTCGTCCTCAGTTCTCTACTTGGATTCTTCGCTTGCCCCTGACTTCTTCTCTCTTCTACCTCTCCTTCTCCCTTCTCTTCACCACCTTACTGCTCGCCTCTAGCTACCATCAGCGATGTCACAGCGCCGCCATACACCACACACCCCGCCATCTAGATAGCATTTAGTCTTTCAGTTTCTGCAAAGACCTATAAAAGTCCGGTGACCGGGCCCAGGACCGGGCCCGGAAGCTGGATGTGAGTGAGGGCGATGAGTTACAGAGGAACTTTCGGCTCTGTACCCTACCCCCTTAGCACCCTCAACTTTTAGTTAAAGGATGGGGTAGAGGTCAACTGCTCCAGCAAACTGAAATCGAAAAGGAGTGATCTCGCAATTTACAAAATATTGTTAGCCAGCTAATTTGATTTGTACACGGTCCTAGCAACCTTCCTAGACCTATTCATAGAGAAAACCGTAAGTAGGTACATAGGGGTCAGATCTGCGGTCTTAGCCTTCGGTACGCTGGGGTCATAGGAAAACTTTTTGGGGCTGTATCAGAACGAGAAGATTCGGTTTGAGAAAGTGGGCCTCATCTCTAAAATCGTTTTAGAGGGCTGCCCGGAGGCCCAGGAGGTGAAAAGAATACATTCTGATACAGAAGGAGCTTGAAAAGTTTACTTCTCACTCTTACAAGGGATCTTTGAATCTTGAGGCCCCAGGAAGATAAAAAAATTAAGATCACAGGGGTGGGGGTGGTATTTTGATTCAGAACGACTATCTTAATAGATTAGCAAAATAACAAGAGGCAGGAAAGAGACTTCTTGTAGTGTCTAGTGATAGGGCCAGATTGATGGTACGTCACTGAAGGAGGGTGGGCGCTCTATTCATCATTTTGCGCTCTATTCTTTTTGTTTAGTCCATAGATGTGAGGGTTGCAAATTATTGGGTCAACATTCCACTATTCCTAAAACAGATGTATGTTATGTATGTAGGTTTGTGATTCAGTACTCTTTGTGAATTATCATAAAATGTAATCTGTTCCTGAGATGTATCAAGAATTGAAGTTAAAAATAATTGTCTGACATTTATATATTTTATGGACGAATTGATTGCATTCCATATTTTACAAGAGTAAAATTCACGACCTGTTGACCACCAACGTCAGAAAGTTCTCTAAATTCTCTTTTTAAAAAACAAGCCCACCCGACCCAAACTTGTCTAACCACCCCTCTCCCCGACACTCGACCCTCACCCCCTTCATTCATAATAGTACCCGTCATTTCAAGGTAAACTACCCCCATCAAGAGAACCCAACACCCTCCCCCTACCCCCCCTTCGCGTATTATTTTCCTCCTCCTCTACCTCCCCTGACTCCGCCCCCCTGCTGTTTCCCTCTCCAAACTCCATCCTTATTCCTCGTTGCCTCCCCGCCGCCTACCACCCTCCTCCTCCTCCTCCTCCTTCACCACACACTTACGTACACCCCTCATCAGCACCGCTTGTCTTCCTCTTCTCTCCTCTCCCTCAGGGCATTCTTACTCCATAAAAGTATCCGAGCTGCGGTGTTGCAGCACGAAACTTTTGAAACAGGATTCGACGATCCGTAAGTTGCGGTTCAACTTGCTCGCGCTTTCACCGACTAGCTTCGTCCACCTAGATGTCTGTGCTGAGCAGGCAGCTTAGCTGAGCCTCTTTCGCTAAGTTTGCCTACCATCAACCTTTGGGCCTTCAAGGAACAAGATTGAATTCTAGTCCACTCGATTTGGAATACTTGTCAAAAGTCACTGAGTTGAGGAGATCTTGAGCTTGTACTGTCGAGTCTTCTTACCTGATGCCTTTGACTCGACGATTTGCCACGGAGCTGTCCTATGAATGGCAGACTCACTGCATCTGCTATAAAGACCTGCAACGCGAAGCTGAAAATCTGGTTGGAGACTATGATGAAGAGTTAGAGATGGTGTTCAAGTTCCATCTCACAGTTGCTATAGAGCAGGCCAACAACTTCTACCTCACCAAGGAGACACATGTCAAAGAATGCCTTGAGGATGTGAGCAAGGCCGTAGATGCTGTGGCCGAGGTTCATTTGGAGAGGGAGGCAAAGCACTTGCCCCCGGCCATGGGACGAGGATACACCAAGATGCTCGGCAAGAGCCCGACAACAAGCACCGATCATCTCTGGGCTGCAATTCACTTTGAGGATGATCGGAGCATGTCGGAAGAGGATCTCGACTTCGTGCGAGATTTCTTCGAGATTTGGAAGTCGGGCTGCAAGGAGAAGAAGGGAGTGATAACCCTCTCCGACTTTGTCAACGACTGCTTCATGAGCCGGCTGGAGGAAGGAGCTCTGCAGACGGCGCTCAGAGAATGGCTGCAGCTCCTCACCTACATTGACTCCATCCGTAACTTCGCTATCCTCAACTCTGCCGCTGCAGTGAAGCTGCTCCAGCGGCACTCGTCGCAGGCTACATGCGATGAGGTCATGGCGGTAGTGTCGACGCTTCCGATGTTTCACATGTCGGAGCTCTACTCGGTGATCACAGAGATGGAGCTGCTGGCAGAGCGTCTCCAGTACTGCTTGTCCCCTTCGTCGCACGTTGAGGTCCCGACCACCTGGTCGCCTCATATCTGCCCCTTCTGTACTCACACGGTTACCAACGCCGTCATCTTGCAAGGAGGAAGAATCTGCTGCTGGGCTTGTGCGCTCAAGAATTCGTCCAATGCCATCGTGTACTGTCCAATCACGTTTCGCCAGACGGATCTGCGGCAGATCAAGTTGGAGAGGGTGAGTACTGATACTTCAGGCTTCGTTTGTGATCTTATTTCTGCAGGTTCTTGCAACATTCTTGAGGAGATTCTTTCCAGAGTCTCTAAAATCCGTTCCTGCTGCGCTTCTGGGCCATGAAGAGAAGGTGGAGGTCAGTCATCAACAGTGAATGGGCTCGCAGTGTGGTTGAATGAGAACACAGGAAGAGGAGGAGACAGTTCATGGAATCTTGTCTATGATGAAGGCTAGGAAGAAGAAGGAGGAACCTCGTCCTCGACCACACACAGCTCGTAGGAGGTATGGACCTTTCACTGTGTTGTCCTGCCGCCGCCCGGCTTATGCTTCGTCCCAGCCGTCGCCAGCAGTCGAGCTCCTACTCTTCGAGCTTGGATTTGACTAAACTTGATCAGGTAAATTCCTCGCACTCTTTCTTGCGGAACGTGTGACCTGAGCATGCAGGATGTTACTGTCATCTTGAAGAAGATACACGACGACGACTCTTCCAGGGGTTATTCCCCGCCCAGGTGCCTCCTTCACTGCCGCTCCTCCTGCATGCCTGACGATCGTTCTTGTGCAGGCGGGATCGTGCCATATCTCTTCCATGCGAGCCATCGTCCCTCAGTATCGACTCGCCAAGAAACCTCCGCGGCTTTCCCTTGGAGACCTCAGAATTCAACCCACATTTCGTCCCCGATCCCAAGTACTCGATGAGGAAAACATTTAACAAGAAGCATGGGGGACAGGCTTGCAGGTATGTTGATCTATGAAAGGTTGATTGGGTGCTGACTAACATGCAGGGACTTGGCGAGCCTCGTGGTCAGCACATGATATGACATGTACTCTAGACACCTTTCTCACGAATCTCGAACTCGTGTACTGTATATTCTTTTGCTTTAACAATTTAGTTTCCAACAAAACTTTTGAATTTGTTTTCCTTTTGTGCTATGTTCACAACAGGTTTACTTGAGATACATTGCTACTCTGTAATAGCGAGCAATGCATCAGTATTACAGCGAATAGCGTGCAATGAATCAATATTCGATCCTCTTTCGACTTCAAAGCTAATAAGGTTAAGTTCCAACAATGTTCAATGGCCAAGGAGGTTGCAGGCAAAGACATGTACACACACAGGTTTCATCACCAAACCCCCATGATTCATAAGAGAGGCGGACTGTGACTGATGCGTCACCAATTTGGCCTGAAGTGTTCTCCAAGATACCTGATGGTGACCTGAAGTGAATTCTTCTCGATTGTCTGATTGTCCTTCAGATGTATCTCTTCCTCTTTCGCATCTTCTCATTGCATCAACGTTGCCTGCCAGCACCTCTGTCACCACTCAACCCACTCACCCCTCTCTGGGACGCACAACTTTTGATCACAACACTAATGTATTAACAACTGTATTTACATCTCATCTATGGAAACAACGCCGCGCCGTCCTGTTGGTCGGCTGCATGGCTGTACTGATTACTGAACACGCTGGCTGGGCCTTTAGATATTCACTTGTCCCATTGCAGAACGCAAGCCGCTGTTGTGAGCATACTTGCTGCATCCGCTCTCTTCGCTCTCAAGAAAGTCGGACGTTGATGCCATGGCCGTGTCGAGAGTGCATGACAAGTCAAACCTCCATCGGCTGTCCCTGCCCGTGGGTGAGGGATACCGCTGAAGGCGCGAAACGCGCTCCTTGCTCGGGGTACATGTTGGGGAGTATGAGTCTTGACGGAGAAGCTGTCTTCCTCGCAGAGGAAAATCTTCCGAATGGTAAGAAGATCCCATACATGAAACGATAGCGAAGGAAATGAGAACGAAGAGGATCAACTGGAGCCTTTGGTACATCTTGCAGAAAGGGTACTTGAGAATTTGGAAGAAAGAAGGAAAGTATGGAGGAGGAAGGAGACTGGAGGAACGAAGAGAGTCTGAGGAGGATGAATAGAGTGGCGGAGAAGCTCAAGGATAGACGGCAGCAGGAGGAGGAAGAGATACGGACAGACGAAGATGTCAGGCAAAAACTGCGATGGTGGCGAAATGTTTCGACGGGGAATATATAGGCAACCACCCCACCCTCCCAGATATGTACCCCTACCCCCAAACAAATTCTTTTTGGTACCGGTTATCTCTATAATATTTTCACCCTACCCCACTGGGGGCCCCTTTCCTGCTGACCAATGTTGTAAACAACTTTGACCCGGTCAAATTCAGTTTACTACAGGCCCCTGGTCATCAGGGGACAAGGGACTCCACCCTACCCCCAGCCTACCCCCAGGCAACCGACATCCCTGATTTGACCCTCTCAGGGGGTCGTCGGAAGTCTCCACTGACCCGGTCCCGGCCCCATTTTTTTTCGTCGTCGAGGGGGTGGAACTAAATGACCTAATTTTGGTAGATATTCTCCCAAATTGTTCCACCCGTCATTTCCCCACAGAAGTACCCCTTCGTATCCCTTTCAATCAAACATTTATCGCTTCCCCGGAAGTTGACCATCAGTTAACTGGTGAAAGGGGGGTAGGGTGGTCAGAAATTGGGCTACTTTAGATAGCAGTTGGAGGTCGGATTTTTAGAAGGGTACTCAAAGTGGATCAAACCACCGAGGGAGCTTTTCAATTTCGTACCATGGCAAAGCAAGCATTATTCTCAATTGTAACTATAGCAAATAATTGCAAGGTGCACACCTTTATCGTTTCATTCTGCTTCAAAAACTTTGACCCCCTCAAGAGTACCCCTTCTACGGCCTCGACACCCCTACCAAATTTGGAGTACCCCTACACATTAGCTACTTCCATACAGGCTCCGAAAGGTCACATCGGGATATGGGGACAAGAAGGGCTACATGTTACCATAGGTGTACTTCTACCCCTGGTATCCCCTTTTTCCACCCGGGTCATCTCAGCCCCTTAACGGACAAATGTACCCAAATTGGAAACTTGCTGTACCCCCACCCCCTTCAAGAGCACTCCTGGCTGGCCTTGATGTGGAGAAGCATTCCCCTTCTTTGGACGCATTGGACCACCCCACCTGTGCAAGAAGCTACAACTGTTCCATTGTACCCCTCTCGAAGATATTTCCAGACTAACTTTGGGATTTTCCAAAGTTTGATCAGTTATGATTCAGATGTACCCTATAAGACCTCAACAAATGGACCCCTCCAAGAAAATTTTGCAAAACATTTGCCTTGATTCCATGAAATTATTCGATGTACCCCCTGTTATAACACATTGACTACCCCACTTCTTCCCATGGTCGCATTAGGAGTTAAAGATAGAGCAGCTCCGTTGCGACCTTTACACCGTGGAGTCTATTTCAGAGTACTGTTTTTCACTTTGAAAATTACAGATGATTTGGTTGAAAATTTGGTTTCAATTCCCAAGGCCATGGGAGTGCCATGGCGAACACAGGATTCCATTTTGACCACTTTGACTATTTTGACTATTTTGATCACCGTTGGACCTCCTTGAAACGGAACAGACCTGCCTCACTGAAATCACTGACAGAGATGCCGGCCCCGTCCGAGCCGGCTCTATTTGATACCGGATTTATCTGGTACTGAGTTTTACTTAATAAAATTGTACGGATTTCCATGAAGATTTAGTACTCAAAGATTTAAGCTAAAAAAAATGTGCCAGCCCGCACAAACCGTACTGGAAGATGCAAGTTGATGATGCTCTATGGAATGAGGATGAGGGAGGAAACAACTTAGATTGAAGAGAAAGGAAGCGAAAACAACAGTAGATGGAAGCAAACATTGTTCTGAAACAAAACACAAAAGAATGTACTAGAACAAGTCTTGAGTTAGGATCTTTAATTTTGAAACCATGGCCATCGACCTCAGTAGCAGCTGCAACTTTTTCTCTTCTACTGCAGTTGATCCTGAGCGACAATAAGAGACATGAAAGCTGGGAAAACCTTTGAGTGTTTGTTTCACAGCCAGCCAAAGGAAATAAGAATGCAAGATTCATCGGACGTGAAGGACATCAATCCAAGTGAGAAAAAAAGGCTTTTGTTAACCATGGAACAGGATGGATGCTGATGACTGACATGAAAGTTGGCTGCCGAGGCAGGGTCGCTGACAGTCCTGGGACGAGAGCAGGAGGTCGACTCTCAAGTCAGCGAGGAGCTGAAGAAGCTCTCGGTAGTGCCCGTGAGAGGGAGAAAGAGACAGACAGACAGACAGACAGACAGAGGAGATGGGGGCGGGGAGAGAGGGGAGGAGAGGCTACGAGCTGACTGACTTTGCGACTCGAGGTGGAGGAGAGAGGGGGGCCAACCCCTCCAGTAGCAAAGCTCGTGCCCACACATGAGCGAGGACAGCAGGTGAGGAAGATCGAGGAGGCGAGTGAAGCTAAAAGAAGCTGCGCGATCGACTGAATCGCTCTCTCTCTCTGTCTGACAGGCAGGATTACCAGCTGCCTCCGGGAGGAAGAGATCCGGGAGAAGACCAGTGCATGACAGTCGGAGCGATGCCGCTCGGTCCACTAGCGATTCTGCATCGCAGGATCCAACCATCCCAGCCTCGTCTACCCGCTCCAAACGAGACCACAAACAAGAGAGACAACAACGAATCTTGTCCGCACTCCTCGACAAGCCGGAGCTGTCGGATGCTCTCGAGCCCTTTGACAACATCTCACCGGGGGACACGTGGGAGAACGTGAGGGGCAAGGTGAAGTATGAGGACGTGGTGAAGGTCGGCAAGGCTTTGATGAAGGAGGCGGAGCTGATAGCCGGAGACTTCAAGACGCTGATGAGGAGCAAGCAAGTCGAGAAGCTCCTCGGGACCTCAGTGGAGAGGCCGACGGACGTGAAGGACTTCGAGCGGAAGATCATCGCGAGGTGGGGGGCGGACGACAAGACATCAAGGCCCTACAAGATCTGGACTGGGACCGTAAAAAAAATGCAGCACTGCTTCTTGTCTCGGCTAGAGCGATACTTGAATGAGTTCTCACCGACCGAGAAGCGACAGGCTGACCTGATAGTCGCCATGGCGTACCTGTCGACTTTCAACTGGTGCTTGACGAGCAAGCGGGGGAAGCCTTTCGAACGGTATGCTCTGCCATCGGATCAGCCTGAAGCTTCCCAGCAGCTGTCAGCTACCGTCAGTGACGTTGATGCCGAAATAGATCTGAAGGCACCGTACAGATGAAGGCATAGGCCCAGTGCAAGTTGCCTACACTGCGTACAGCCTAGTACGGTCAGCGGGCTGCCCGCCAGCTCCAAAGGTAGCCCGGATCCCGGGCGGCCGCGCCCGACCGCCGCTCGGACCGTACCGTGTATCATAGTATATGTCAACTTAGCCTTACTCTGGCAGCCTGTGACTTGCCGGGTATCGGACCGTGTATGTATGGGCTGTGCGGCAGTGTCACTGACCGGGTCAAGCCTCCTCAGAGTCTACTCCAGGCTCAGGCTATGATGATTGTCCTCATCACTGGTTGTAACTTAACTTTGAGCCTCGTAACTTAACTTTGTGCAACTTAACTTTGAGACCTCCTTGTCGTGTACCTTGGCCTTCCCATCTGACTGACAACATGACGTCAACACGCATCCTGTCAGATTAGACTCGTGCAAGTATGCAAGCATGAGCATACCCCGACTCTTTATAATCGGTTCGAGTCGCTCGTCGAACGTCACTGAAACAGTGAGGACTGCTTCCCTGTTACGGTGTGCTCAATGAGGACAATGGTACTAAAGTTTTGCGAATGATATCGTTTACTTAACACATGGTTACATACAGCACGTTTTCACAGTAACATACATAGGTTAAAGAAAAAGCAGAGGTAAAGCGGAAATTCGAACGGGCAAACGTCGCTGCTGTCTGAGAATCAGTTTGTCAAGCTATGCAGATTCTAGTGAATTGCTCTTTGGAAGGCGTGTATTGGAACCGCAAATCCTAAATGGAAGACCCAGACATCGCGGGCATTCGCTTGAAGTGACGAAGTTCATGCAATAAAAGACATCATAATTTACCGTTTCATGTTGTTGATGTTCTACATGACAGCATCAGGCATACTACATGAGAGAATCATGCAATATATGTGATGCTGGAACCTCATACAAGTGCAGCATGACCTTTACATACGCATTCGATCTTCATTCTGTCCCGCATTGCGGCGCATGTCTACTTTTAACTTTGAGTAAAGTTTGCCCGATCCGATCTTTTGACCCTTAGTCAAGGTTAACTAAAGTGGGCACACGCATCAGCCTTGGCTTCGGGTACCCCTACTGCTAGAGGTGGGAGATTTGCAAGGGTGCTAGGAGAGGGGGTATGAATAACCTAAAAAGAAGGGGTAAAAAAGAGATGGAATCTAATTGATGGTGGGTAGGGTGGTCTACTGGGAAATGAGGTAGCGGGGCTCAATGGTCGCCGGCTCTTCGTAGGAAGGCAAAGAGGAGGCTGTGGGAACGTGGCTGATGCTGGTGGAAGGGAGGAGAGAAGAAGCAGGCAAGGTAGCAATGAAGGAGATGATCTGAGATAGTCCTCACAAAGAGAACACACTAGAGCATCTTCTCAAGTATAAGCCTTACACAAAGCTTATGCTCATGCTCATGCTCATGCTCATGCTATTCATTTGTAGAGACTGTGAGAGACATGTTCCATCTACCATGAAAGACACATGTTACTTTGTTCCATCTATCTATCAATAATCAATCTCTCAGGTACGCTCAACAGAGTGAGATGCGAGGTACTGGACGTGTCAAGGCTCTCTGCATAGGAGCTGATGCCTACACGCATATCGCGCCATTGGTTGAGGCTGTGAAAGATGCGCGTAGAATGCATAGGGAGCTGGAAGACAGCTCGGGCTGCTCCTCCTCCTTCCTCGCCAACCCGACGACGAGACAGTCCATGTTAGACATGCTTTCCTCTCTCGCCATGGACTGCCAGACCAAGCGACCGGAGCTGATGCTAGTGTTCTATGCCGGGCATGCTATACAGCTGAGCTCGGGTGAGATCGCAATGCTGACATGCGATGTCGTGAGGCCGGAGGTGTCAGAGGAGACACGAGGGAGCAGGGTGACCGTCGGAGACGTGCTGAGCGCCATGGCTGCGGGGGCAGAGAACGTGGAGGCGCTACCTCCTCTGATCGTCATCATAGACGCGTGTAGAGACGAGGTGCAAGGGAGGGAGAGAATCGAATCAGAGATAACCAACAGGACTAGGAGCATGAAGGTTTCGTTATTCCTGTCATGCAGCAGAGGTCAGAGAGCAGATGATGAGTCAGCATTCCTCAGGGACCTTCTGGACAAGGAGGATGGGATGTTCGCGCGGAACATGAGGCTAAAGCAGGCCATCCAGCATGCTATGCTTGAAAGTCGCCGCAGAGAGCAGGTGGCAGTATCGTTCTGCACAGAGCTTATCCCGGAGGACTTGTGTATCAGGCCGGAACCGACGGTCCTAAGAGACATCCAGCAGATACAACAAGGAGCGAGGAGGGTCGCGGAGAGCTCGAGGAGGCTGGAAGATCCAACAGCAGGGCCGACAAGCCCGGGTCCTGCAGCAGAGGTCGTAGCTGGATACAGCCCTGCAGCAGCTGGGACAGGAGCAGACGCGTTTCGAAGCAGCATCCTAGGCCTACTGCAGGAGAGTCTTGGCAGCCTGCTAGAAGAGAGTCCGCGGTGGCGGGTGTGCTCGATGTTTGTGCTGGTGTTCCTGAGGTACGAGGGGACGAGGTACGGGACTCAAGTGACTCGCAGATACTACCAGACGCGATCGAAGAAGAGGCTTGGTCCTGACCTCATCAGGGCTGTCAACGGTCATATGAGCAGGAACGAGATCCGGTCGGAGGAGCTAGAGCAGTGGGTACAAGAGACCTACGGGACGTCGACCAGGAGCAAGACGGCGGTAGCAGCGATCGACTTTGCCGTACGCGAGGAGATCAGGAGGTCGCTCTCGCACATGCCCGAGGAAGCGAGGTCAGAGCTTCGCTTGTGGGAGGAGGACGTGCGGCTTCGAGACTTCTACGAGGGCGACATGACGGAGGAGGCGGCGCTGAACGAAGCAGAGGGGTACCTCAAGAACAAGATGACGGCAGATCAGGACGGGAGGCTGAGCCCTCTGCTCGCAGTGCACGTGCTGTCGCGGGTGGTCGAGACCGGCAGCTTCGTAACGTTTCTGAAGATGACGAGGCTCAGCTGCGCCTGCTTGTCCGTGGCGCTGGCTAAGAGAGTGAGGGTGGCTGGACAAGGATAGTGAGGAGCAGGAGGAGGGGGAGGAGGAGGAGGGCAGGTTTCGAACGTGGGTGAGCAGCAGTGGGTGGGTGTTTGGCAGTCATGAGCACGGGGAGCTGGAGGAGCGACTTGAGAAGGAGGAGGCGGAGCAGCTCCGAGCTCTACTGGCAGGCGTAGGAGGAGACGAGGAGGGTTTTGTGGCGATGAGCAAACTAGAGGGAGGAGGTGAGAGCCGATGCTGATGAGGGAGGATGCTGATGACTGACGTCAACGTTGGCTGCTGGGGCAGGGGCGCTGACAGTCTGGGGACGAGAGCAGGAGGTCGACTCTCAAGTCGGCGAGGAGCTGAAGAAGCTCTCGGTAGTGCCCGTGAGGGAGAGTGAGAGAGACAGAGAGAGAGGACGAGAGGCTGCGAGCTGACTGACTTGCGACTCGAGGTGAAGGAGAGCGGGGGGCCAACCCCTCCAGCACCAAACTACGTAACCCCACATAAGCGAGGACAGCAGATGGCGGGAGGGTCGGCGGGATGGGGGAAGCAGCCCCTGAGGGTGATCGAGGAGGCGAGTGAAGCTGAAAGCAGCTAGGCGATGAAGTTGACTGACTTGCTCTCTCCTGCAGTCAAGACCGCCAGCCGCCTCCGAGTTCACCAGAATGTCATGAGGTGGAAATCGCCTTGGAGACCCTGATGACAGTCGGAGCGATGCCGCTCAGTCTGTTGCTAGGAGCGAGTCAGCTCTTTCGCAAGCCTCTACTGCCTCGGTCTCTTCGGCTTTTGCTCGAGAGAGACATCAACGAATCTTGTCCGCACTCCTCGACAAGCCGGAGCTGTCGGATGCTCTCGAGCCCTTTGACAACATCTCACCGGGGGACACGTGGGAGAACGTGAGGGGCAAGGTGAAGTATGAGGACGTGGTGAGGGTCGGCAAGGCTTTGATGAAGGAGGCGGAGCTGATAGCCGGAGACTTCAAGACGCTGATGAGGAGCAAGCAAGTCGAGAAGCTCCTCGGGACCTCAGTGGAGAGGCCGACGGACGTGAAGGACTTCGAGCGGAAGATCAACGCGAGGTGGGGGCCGGGGGACATTGAACGAGGCCCCTACAAGATCTGGGCGAAGATCAGCAATAGGCCGGAGTGCTTCTTGTCTCGGCTAGAGCGATACTTGAATGAGTTCTTGTCGACCGAGGAGCGACAGGCTGACCTGATAGTCGCCATGGCGTACCTGTCGACTTTCAACTGGTGCTTGACGAGCAAGCCTGGGAAGCCTATCGAGTATGCTCTGCCTTCGGATCAGAAAGCTTCCTAGCAGCTGTCAGCTACCGTCAGTACTATGATCTTTGATCAGGATTGTCAGAGCTTCGCTTGTGCGAGGGTACCGTGACTGCTGACACTGCTCCTCCCGAGTCCCATTGAAATAAGCTCCTTTCAAATAAAATACTCCCCCTACAAACGAGGAAGGGAGTCTGTCGCTGTATGCCCCCGCCATGCTCCACACATCCATCAACTCCTCCCCCTTTCCTCCTGTTCATACCTCCCCCTCCCTCCTCCTCGACTCGCACACCGTCGCCTCCCTCCTCTCAGACTCCGAGCTGAACCTCGCTCCCCTCAAAGTCCTCCTCGGCTCGTCATGGCGAGACCTCCTGATCGTCACGCTCCTTCTCGTCGCCATCTTTTGCAGGCGCCTCGCTGAGACAGTCGGGCAGCTGCTGCTGGACGACGAGGACGATGATCGTAACATCGCCATCGCCAGCACCAGCGCCAGCACCAGCACCAACGACTACGTCACCATCCGTCGGAGGCTTCGACAAGCTCAAGATGCTGGAGCCTCATTTCGGGCAGACGTTCAAGGTGCCTCGGGTAGGCGTCAGATAGCCGCGACGAGGACGCAAGACCGCCCGAGGCTCTGTAGACTACTAAAACTTGTACATAGCGTGGAGAAGACCGAGGACCTGAATACAAACCTGGCATTGTGTGAAGATAAGACTTGCCGAGGGAGCGAGAGGGAGGGGGCTCTGCGGTGAAGGACGGAGAGCTGAGAGGCAGGGAGGGGGAGGAGGAAGAGGAGAAGGCGGCGCGAAGAGGGGTGTGTGTGGGGAGGGGAGGGCGGAGATAGCATAGCATGATCATCATGGTGATCGGATTCAGTGGGGTTTTGTACCGGGCTCACTGAGGTGCGAAAGCTCCGCCGCACAAGCCGCATGAGCTGCCTGATTCCTCAGGCTCCATGCTGCAGTGACTCTCTTAGCACCTCCGATCAGAGCATCAAATTGTGTACTTGAAAGTCATTGAAAATCTGCATTATCGCTTCAGGAGCACAGAGAAGAGTTTGTCAGCAGGTCAACTATGCAATGGTAATGTGCATAAGAGACTCTTCTCCATGGTACCTTACATGTGCTGGCAAAGGTACGTGCAAGTAGGGTTGGTACTGTTGAGTATGATAGTTATCATCTACCTGGTGCAGTGCTTCGGCTTGATAGACCTGAGGAAGGTCTTGTGCTTCCGAGCATGTCTGGGGAGACCGCGAGAGCATGTGTCCTCCTCCAAGCCCTCGGGCAGTGACCTCAACTCAACGGACGACTCAACTCACACCGACAACCTCGAGAGCTTCAAGGACTTTGGGGTGGAGGATGGGCTCGATAAGGGGCAGGAGCGTCTGCGAGGCTTCCTTGAGACAGATTCAGGGTCGGAGAGGAACGAGAGCTTCTCTCGTCCTATGAAGAGCGAGCTTCAGCAGGAGGATATCTTCCCGAAGATACCTCCCAGACAGCCCATGGCGAGCGACCTGTCGCAAGGGTCCGACAGCAGCTTCACCCACATGCTCCAACCCAAGTTGTTGGACAGGTCCGATGACGCAGAGTCCGAGGATGACATGCTCAACCTTCTGACCTTAGCCAGGAAGAAGTCCCTGCTGCCCGACCAGTCCAGGCTCGTCCAAGAGGAGCCCCACGCCGACCTCCATGGCAGTCTCTACTCGCCGACGGCAGAGTCGGACTACAAGTCGATGCGCACAGAAAGCACAGCGTCCGGGGACTACCATCCGCTGCGGGATGCAGTTCTGGAGCGGCTGGAGGAGGAGGGAGGGGAGGATGCAGAGTCGGATGTGTACGTGCTGTCCAAGATGCATGCGGTCCGAGCTTGAGTCCATCAGACATCTTCAACAAACGATCCAGAGTCGTGGCAGAGAGACATCCACGCTCAACGAGAGCGTCCAAACAGACTGCGATGCGGAGTTTGACGAGCAGGCAGACTTGAAGAGCGAGTCAGCCGCAGGGACGTTGCGGTCGAGCAGCTTCTTCCCCAAGACGCACGAGCTGAACCTGCGAATCATTCGAGCGCAGCTTTCAAAGATGAAGGACCTTGACCCGCCGGATAGAGTGAGGAGCTCGCCGAGGACGGTAGAGTCCAGAGGCTCTCTACCGCGAGGGGCCAGCAGGGCGAGCGACGTCCCGTCATTGGACATGGTGAGAGGGGGTGACAAGGGACGGGCTGAGCGTCTGCGAGCAAACGTGAGAAGGGTGTGAGAGGAGGAGGTGGACAAGGGCGTGTGTATCTGCTGTGCGATGAATTGCGAGGAGATGACTGCCGTCCGCAGATGCCCTCGACCCATGTGCGAAGGAACCGCACGACGAGTCCCCGAGCAGCTCTCCTGCTCTCCGATCAGCTGCACGCACTCTACTGGGCGGCGACGAGCGGAGGGAGCGACTCTCGGCCAGGCACTCATCGCCTCGTCACCCCGAGGCAGGCCTCCCCCCTCACAGACTCAGACTCGAGGAGGAGTCAGACCCTCTCCCGCGCTGACATGCTCGCTGCGCTGGCGTCGAGGGTCCTCACCCCAAGAAGCGCTCAGAGCTCCGCTCGAGGCCCCGCTCCGCAGCTTGCTGCCCCGTCGGAGGGGTTGGAGGGCAGCACTCCTCGCAGCGGGTCGATGCACTGGTCTCAGATCGCGGAGGAGAACCAGAGGTCGCAGAGGAGCGAGAGGTCGAGCAAGAACGTGTTTGTGCAGAGCCAGATGTCGAGGCAGAGAGGCGGAGGGGCACAGGCGTGAGGAGAGGAGGGGCGAGAAAGGCTTGGTTGCGAGAGGAGACGGCGAGAGGGAGGCGGAAAGGAGGGAGCGATGGGTGAGGGAGGCGCGAAAAGGGCAGGAAGCTGATGGTGAGGGAGAGAAGGGGCAGGAGTCTGTTGCCGCGCGGAGAGGGATGAGCAGGAGCTTGTGGCTGAGAGAGGGACGAGCGCTACCCCTCCTGCTCGAAGGATGGAGACAAGGAAAGCAGGACATAGGGGAGCGGGCTGAGGATAACAGCGAGAGCTCGCTTGCCTTACACGAGCCTTGAGGCACGGATCAGCAAGAGGCGCAGGAGCTCGAGGAGGAGGAGGAGGAATGCGCAAGAGTCAGCGGCAGCAGACACCAGGACTGCAGGAGCTCAGGACGTGGGAGGCGAGGGGACATGGAGGTCTTGGATGGATCTCAGCGGGGGACCAGATCTCGAGAACATGAGCACACAAGGCGACAGAAACGAGGAGCCAGAGGAAGATGAAGGCAGAGAAGAGACACGCTGAGCTGCCTGACATGTAATCGAACAGAACCTCCTCCACTCCCTCAAGACCTCTACTGTACACAGCACCACGAGCCTCTGGTTGGTGTGTTAGCCTGAGCGACGGCTCCTCTCTCCTCCAGCAGGCGTCTGACGGGGCTGGAGAGCGACTGGTCGATTGAAGCATAGCGACACACAAGCTCTCTCTCGTTTCGATTGAAATCAGCTGTGAGAAGAAACAAGCCTTCATCCCTCAATGTCCAAGTCTTGATCGACCCATTAGACATATGCCGCGTAAACAGTGTGCCCGTCCGGCCCCCAGCTCAGCCCCCCTCACTCCTCCCTCGGGTCCCTCCTGCAGCTCCTCGCCCCTCCCCGTCTCTGCATCCCACACCCACACCCGTCCCCCTGACTCCGACACGCCCGCGAGCCTCCTCCCGTCGGGCCCCTCAGGCCCAAAACGTGTTGAGTGTCTCCCAGCCCTTTCAAGTTTGTGCTCGCGAGTGCACACTCCCAGCTCCACGTCCATTGTTTGCATGCAGTATTCCCTCCTGTGCGTCCACCAAGCGATCCTCTCGTCCCCCACCCAGCCTATCTCCCCTATCTCCTCCTTCCTCTCAAGGTCAAGGAAGCATCCTCCTGTCTCCACGTCCCACACCCTTATCCTCCCTCTCCTCGACCCCGACGCCAGCCTCTTCCCGTCAGCCCTCCATCGAATCATATCGATCTCTTCCCCTCCCCTCCCAAGCTCCCTCACACACCTTCCGGTCTCCACATTCCACACCCTTATCTTCCCGTCCTCCGACACTGTTGCTAGAGTCATCCCCCCGGGCTCGAACGCCCCGCATCTCACCTCCTTGCACTCGATCCTCACTGTCGCCCTCTCCCCAAAGTCAGCTCCCTCCAGTCTCGCTCCCTCCAGCCGCGTCTCCACAAAGTATCCGTGGCTCGCGTCCACCCCGCGCAGGTCAGCCCACCTCAAGTCCGTCCGATGGAAGATGCCGTTCCTCAAGATTGCCCTGCCACTCGCACACCCGACAGGTCTAGACCCGACCAGCTCACGCTCGCTGCCACCAAGATCGTAGCCGCGTTCGCTGACGCCCTCCCCGTCTCCTCGCTTCCGTCCTCCCGCGAGGCTCTCATGACGTCAAACAGCCTCTCCTGGTACTTGCGCTTGCCCTGCACGACAATGGCGTGCTCCTTGATCGTCTCGACCTCGCCTCGGAGGTTTCGCACCGACAGACTCGCTGGCACTCGCACAGCCTCGTCCGCCTGCCCGTCCTCCTTCTTCCGAAGCTCCTCCAAGGTTGCCTCCGCAAGGAAGAAGCTCCGGTACAGGTCGTGGACAAAGCTTACCTCCAGACTGCCCTCTCGCTTGTTGTGCTTCACGCGAGTCAGGCTGCCGCGCAGCAGCCAGTACCCCAGCTGCTGCGTCACGTCGCCTCCTCTCATCCGCAAGCTGAAAGGAGCGACAGACGAGAAGCCGTCGCCTTCCTTGAGAACGACATGCTTCCTCTGCTCTCTGTGCATGTAGAGACAGACATGCTTGGCCCCGCGTGAGTACCACTCCATGTAGTTCCCGTCTCTCATTCCCGCTTGCTTGGCCTGCTCTGCAAGCTCCTGCCTCTGCGCCAGCTTCTCCCACTCTCTCCTGTACCACTCCTTGGCGTACTCCTTGTGCATGTTGTGCCGTGAGATGGTCCAGCTCGGCCTCCTCCTCTTCTTCTCCTGTAGCCGGGGAAGCGCGACAAGCAGCACCTTCAACGAGTAGGGCGTGCTCACTACATCTCGCAGCTCCTGCACCGCCCTCATCCCCTCTTTGCACCTCTCGCTGCTCCAGTCCCTGCCCGATGACCTCGCGTGCGCTTCAATGTACCGGCGGACACGACCCTCGTCCCTCAGACTCAACGGACACACCCAAGCCACCTGCACAGCGTCTTGTCCTCCCGTACCCGGGGGCCAGAGGAGCGGGTTAGACGCGTTTTCTTTCTGCAAGTAGCCGCTCCGACAAGTGAGGACTGCCTTCACTCCCCGGCAGCCCGCGAGCTCCTTCATCACCTTCGCCACCACGTTGTCCATCTCCCCTATCTCATCGTACGAGTCCAGCACCACCAAGAACGATCGTGCCCTGATGAAGCCTCGCCATGCCTCCTCGCCTCCGAAACATACTCCTGCCGCCTCCTCCATGTACGCTTTCACGCTCCTGCACCTCGGCAGATGCAGATACACTGGATACGGCTCCCCCTCCTTCCATGCCTCTCCCTTCTCGATCGCCCACCTCCTCACCAGCGTCGACTTGCCCGCCCCCGCGTACCCGAGCAGCACCAGCACGCGCTTCTGCTTGTCCTGCATGAAGCGGTCGAGAAGATCTCCCGAGCGCTCCCCTGCTGTCACTCTCACCTCGGGGTCTGTGTCCGTGCAGTTGGTCTCCAAGTAGCAGCCCATGGCGTCGTCCACCGCCTCCTCGTCTCCCAGCGAGCTCTTGATCGTCTCCCGCAGACGCTTCGGCAGGTTGCAGTACGTCCCTTCCACGTGCTTGTCCTCCGGGATCCTGCCCGTGTTGAGGTCCACCTTGCTCGCAAAGCCGTACCGATGGCTGTAGCACCAGCCGTTGATGACCATGTTGGCGTTGAGAGGCAGGTAAGGCCCGCTCTGAGAGGTCACCTGATGCAGCGACACCTTCGCCTTCTCCTCCAGCTTCTTGATGCTCTCAAAGTCTTCTCGAAAGAAGTCAATCGTTTCTCCTCCTGCTGTCTTGAGCTCTCCGTCTGCAGTGCCGTGAGTGCCCGTGTTGACATGGACGGACTGATCTAGTCGGGTCATGGCCACGAGGATCTCCTCCACGTCCTCTCCGTCCACTTGCTCGTCGGTCTCCCAGAGGATCTGACCGGAGGGAAGGCTCGAGGCAAAGAACTTGCGACGACTCGATGCCTCGAGGACGTATCGACCTTGAGGTGTCAGGATCAGCCCGAGCTCTCTCGCTTGATTCTGCAGGTCATATTTGCGTCCAGCACGCAAGTCATCGGCAGAGACGATGCTTCCTCGGTTGCCGCTTCCACCGCTTTCCTCGGATCTTGATCGCTTCTCATCTCCTCTCAGGGACCAACCCGACCATGCCTCTGCTAGCCTGCGCTTCATGGCGGCTGGTGGGAAAGGATGTTGTGTACGGATACCACGGGTCCTCTCCCAGTAGTAGTAGGGGATGATGAGGGGTACGACTTCTTTTTGGAGAGGCTCTATTTGGGACCGGGCTGAAGGACAGCGATTCTTTGTAATAGAGCTTGAAGTTGACCTAGAGCTCCTGTCATGGTAGATCTGCCGCTCGGTACACCTGAGGCGGACGTGCAGTGAAGGCTCGAGTGAATGAGGCGAGCTCGCAAGTCTGCGTAGAGACTAATCCATGCAACAGGAGCGCTGTGAGGACGAGGCGATGAGGCGACTGGAAGGAGGAGGTGCAGGAAGCAGAAGAGTACCTCAAGGACAAGATGACGGCAGATCAGAACGGGAGGCTGAGCCCCCTCTGGCAGTCTTTAAGGGAGAGAGAGAGCGAGAGAGAGGGAAAGAGGGAGAGAGAGAGAGAGGGGGGGGGAGGGGAGGGCGGGAGGGAGGGAGCCAGAGGGTGGGAGGGAGAGAGCGAGAGAGCGAGAGGGAGGGAGGGAGGGAGGGAGGGAGGGAGGGAGGGAGAGCAGACTTGCGCCTCGAGGTGAAGATTAGCGGGGGGGCATGTACCAAAGTACGTACTTTCACATATGAAGTTGACTGACTTGCTCTCTCCTGCAGTCAAGACCGCCAGCCGCCTCCGAGTTCACCATGATGTCATTAGGTGGAAAACGCCTCGGAGGCCCTGATGACAGTCGGAGCGATGACGCTCAGTCTGTTGCTGGGAGCGATGCTCTTTCACAAGCCTCTACTGCCTTGCACTCGGACTCTCGGAGGCTCTTGAGCCCTTTGACAAGATCTCACCGAGGGACACGTGGGAGAACGTGAGGGGCAAGGTGAAGTATGAGGACGTGGTGAGGGTCGGCAAGGCTTTGATGAAGGAGGCGGAGCTGATAGCCGGAGACTTCAAGACGCTGATGAGGAGCAAGGAAGTCGAGAAGCTCCTCGAGTCCTCGGAGAGGCCGACGGACGTGAAGGACTTCGAGCGGAAGATCAACGTGAGGTGGGGGCCGAAGGACATGGAGGAACGAGGCCCCTACAAGATCTGGACGCAGATCAGCAACAGGCCGGAGTGCTTCCTGTCTCGGCTAGAGCGATACTTGAATGAGCGCTTGTCAACCGAGACTCGACAAAAGCACCTTATAGTCGCTATGGCGTACCTGTCGACTTTCAACTGGTCCCGTGCTTTCCAGTATGCTCTGTCGTCGGATCAGAAAGCGTTGTAGGTTGACTAGCAGCTCAGCTAGTGGGTCGAAGTTAAACTTTTGGGGGGCTATGTTTTACTCACTGATCAAATGTTCACGAGGATCAGGTAGCTGATATCAGGCCGGGCTGCAAAAGCCTCCTGCAAGTTTCAAAGTTTGGGTAGCTTGCAGCAGTCGGCCGCCAAGGATAATGGTTGGCCGAGGCTCTCTCCGACTCAGTCTTGCCAGAAGTTGCCAGTTGTATTGTCCGACCGACGGAAATGGAAATTTGAACTTAGGCTTGAAAGGCCAACCCGGTGACCGGAGCAAACAAAGTAGAAAAGGATAATCAAACCATCAAACCTACGGTAGGTTTTAGTAAAGTTCAACGGTTGGCCCGGCGACGGTCGTGACTCGCTGCGACCGCACTGGGCCAGTGGGGCAGTGCTTCGGGCTCGGATCGGACCGACGGTCCCCGGAGTCCGATCCGTGCACCCGGGCCGGCGGGTTAGTACGGCAGGCCGGGCTAGTAGCCTCCGCGGCCCGGGCTGATTCGGAGTTCAGTCACAGTGTTCTCAGTCTGCCGGGACCGGACTCCGGACTCCGGGAGTCCCCGGCTGTGTTGTCAGTATACAACGTGGCACTGGCTAGGCTGCGGCCTTGCTTAACTCGGACGTTCAATGAGCTCAGATGATCTTAGGATCACTGTTTGTTAAGCACACACCGTGGCACCGTACAGTACGAGGACAATCAGGAGAGTCGAGAAGGCTTGACACCCGGTGACCGTCCGGGTCGCGCAAGCCACTGAGTCAGTCGTCGGAGTGTGTCAAACGTTGAACGACGAGACTGAGGCCGAGAACAGAAACTTGAAGACAGCGAGAACCAATTGAACCCTCCGGAGGGTTCAATTGGTTTCTGTGGTGGCTGGCGGATCGCTTGGCGAACAAGGAAACGGCAGCGCTGGATGGTCTCTCGGCCTCGCAAGACGTCTCAGGTGATCCGACTTGCAAACGCATCCGGTCCAGGATCTTTCGTCAGCTCAAGGCATCCCTGTCCTTCGCTGCCATCATCGCGGGTGCGTTCCGGTATGCGTCTCATTCCTTCGGCGATGGTCCTGCGCGCAGTTAAGTGAAGGTATCAGTTAAGTTTGGGGGACAGCAGTCGGCAGGATGAGGGCGGGACGAGGGCGGGACGTGCTGAGCATATGCATTACGATGCCCTCGGATCTTCCTCTGTGCTGCTCAGGCTGCCGCAAGTTGCAGTTTGCTACGAGTCTGGTCCGGTATCCCATCATTGGCTATCAGTTAAGTTTGGGGGACAGCAGTCGGATGAGCCTCTTCCTGCCAACTGCTGTCCCCCAAACTTAACTGATACCTTCACTTAACTGCGCGCAGGACCATTCATGTCGCTGTGGCCGCCGCCGAAGGAATGAGACGCATACCGGAACGCACCCGCGATGATGGCAGCGAAGGACAGGGATGCCTTGAGCTGACGAAAGATCCTGGACCGGATGCGTTTGCAAGTCGGATCACCTGAGACGTCTTGCGAGGCCGAGAGACCATCCAGCGCTGCAGTTTCCTTGTTCGCGGAGCGATCCGCCAGCCACCACAGAAAGCGCAACGCATCATCCTGCAAGAGTCCATCAGTGCTGGCGATGGTGGGAAGAAAGGCCTTTGGCGGGACGTGCTGAGCATATGCATGACGATGCCCTCGGATTTTCCTCTGTGCTGCTGCTTGCAGTTTGCTCCGAGTCAAGTGTGGTATCCCATCATTGTCAAAAACATGTGACATGCTGAAGTCCAGGATTAACCCATGCCATCGGCTTCCAGTAGCCTGCAATTGCGGAAGTTCAAAGTCCCCTACGTGATGATCTTCAGGGCCATGGGAAAACTTTCTGCCTGGTGCCGGGAAAGCCTTGCACATGGACGCGGCATCTCACTCCTGAATCTTTGATGAGGGTACTGAGGACGGTGTTGCACTTCTCATGCGCATCAGTCCATAACGGGCTGCGGTGCCTGCAGGTCGCCCACACATGGTCCCCCCTGGATGACGGAGAAGATGGCGGCATTTATCGGAGTGCGGCAGGAGGTTCGCTGATACCCCTCTGTCCGACCTTGAGTTTGCCTACTTCAATCTTCAGTTGCCTTATAGTGCTGGATGTGATGGGTTCACCCCGCAGGAGGGCGTGGCCTACACCGCATTCTGGACGGTCTGCGACTGCCAAGTTTCTCGAATGGGCGGGAGAACTCGCCATCTTCCAGCATTGGATGTTACCTACACCACCACTCTTCCACCGGATCAATTCGGGCACTGAACTTCGAATCCGCCAACCGCAGCAAGTGGACGCTGGGGAAGTTGTCACCATGCTGGCTGCACAGTTCCGAAGTTCTTGGACACTCGCAGGCACTTGATGGAGCAGGGAATCACGGGATACACCTTCGTAGCGGAGCTTCCTCAGGAGTGCGACAATAACTGTATCCCCTCGCCTGAATTGTTTGGGACGTCTGGTAGTGTACTTTTAAACCCCGCCCAGCGGGAGCTCACGGCTCATTTCCTGTTGGAGTTTCCTCGGTTCTGCAGTATTCGGGCAAACCTTTCTGAGCGGCGTCAGCAGTCTTTGTTGGCACACACTCCAGCTTCTCTACTCCACTTCGAGTACCAGGCCAACCGGTCGATAAACTTCTGTCTCAGTTTACCCCTCAGCACAGGATCTGGCACTCAATTATGGAAAGTACAAACCTTGGGATCTTTGAGCAGCAGCCCATCAGCTTGGTGGCAGCCGCCGACAAGTTTCTTGATGGATTGCCGGTTGACCTCGGGGCAGCCTGGTTACAGGTCAGTTGAGCTCTCCTGTGCCTGGTTCTGTGGCCACTGAAATACCTTCGCAAGGAGAAGGAGATTTGCAATGTCAAAGCACTTGAACTGGGCAGCTGTCAAGGCCGGGGAGATTCCACGTGAGACGTATTGGAGGGTGGGAACGTGCGTCGTCTTTAACTTCCGAGCTGTTTGAGACCCATCGCAATGGGAAATTGTTCCAACTGAGTCAATTCAGCGTTGAGAGCATTCACCTTGGCAGTGATAAACTCTTGCTGAAAGGACTGAGACCCTATCGGGATGCTTCCAAGGAGGATCCCCTGGCCTCAGAAGGCAAACTGCTGCAAGCCCGGGTACCTACTACAAATATGCTCTTGGATGGCCCGTTGCTGACTAGATTGAAGCTCGCACCAGGACGGTTGAAGGAGAATCTCTTCGAATCTCTGGATTCAATCTCCAATCCTAGCTCTTGTTTCAACGTATCAACCAGCGATGCAGTGGCTTGTGCGGCAACTGAGCCTAGAGCTTTCCAACTACAGCCATGTTATCCGTATAAGCCGGGAAGACACAGTCGGGGAAGGTCTCTGCGTCTTTGACCAACAGAATTCTCGTCCAGTACCATTCGTATGATCCTCTTCGATGGTAATGGTGGATCTCCTTCTTCCATATCTCTTTCAATCAAATCTTTGAATTCCGTTGTCAATAGAAAAGGATTGTTTCGATGTGACACGAACTGTATGAAACGGACAATACTAGATGTATATGCAGCTCTTGAATTTTGCGGAACCCTCTTTGATCGGATTTCTGAGATTCTTTGACGCCCACGAGCTGCATCCAATGGTTGTCGGGCCTCGTTACCTGTTCTCTGACGTTTTCTTCGGCCCCCGAATTGAGGCCTCGGTGTCACGGTGGCCTGTCCTGGAATTACAACTGCTTCCTGGACCTGCATGTCCTCCAAAGGATCGCCTTGATCCTCGTTGACATTCGGAGACTCTACTTGGCTTACCTCCTCCATTTCATCTTCAACTTGTCTCTCAGCCTGCGCTTCCATCCCACAAAGAAATAAATGTGCGCTCAGAGTAGGATTCAAGCTTAATTAAAGGTTTAGCAGGCCTCAGTGGGCCCGCCTCAGAATAATCCGACAAGTCCTGAGGCGGGCCTGTATAAAGGGTTTGAAAGTTTTAAGATAGCGCCCTTGTGAGCTCAACACAAAAGTAGGGGTACTCAGATTCCTCGCATATAAAATAGTTTTAACAAAGCTTGTGATTTCAGGAAAATCCTGCGGGCAGGGATTTGAACTAGGAAAAATCCTGAAAACGCTAGCTAATTTTATTCATGTTCTGCACCCGATGGTTACGGGTACCCCTTGTGATAGAGAAAGGGTCGCTTGCAAGGGGTATTAATAAGCATAGACGAGGGGGTGATGAAAGATGGAATCCGCTCAGGTGGTGGTGGGGTGATCTGGTCGCGGGCTCTTCGTAGGAAGGCAAAGAGGAGGCTGTGGGAACGTGGCTGATGCTGGTGGAAGGGAGGAGAGGAGAAGCAGGGAAGGTAGTAAGGAAGGAGATGATCTGAGATAGTCCTGAAAAGAGAACGCACTAGAGCATCTTCTCAAGTAGGAGCCTTACACAAAGCTTTTGCTCATGCTCATGCTGACGCTATTCATTTGTATAGACTGTGAGAGACATGTTCCATCTACCATGAAAGACACATGTTACTTTGTTCCATCTATCTATCAATAATCAATCTCTCAGGCACGCTGAGCGGAGTGAAATGCGAGGTACTCGACATGTCAAGGCTCTCTGCATAGGAGCTGATGCCTACACGCATATCGCACCATTGGTTGAGGCTGTCAAAGATGCGCGTAGGATACATAGGGAGCTGGAAGACAGCCCGGGCTGCTCCTCCTCCTTCCTCGCCAACCCGACGACGAGACAGTCCATGTTAGACATGCTTTCCTCTCTCGCCATGGACTGCCAGACCAAGCGACCGGAGCTGATGCTAGTGTTCTATGCCGGGCATGCTATACAGCTGAGCTCGGGTGAGATCGCAATGCTGACATGCGATGTCGTGAGGCCGGAGGTGTCAGAGGAGACACGAGGGAGTAGGGTGACCGTCGGAGATGCGCTGAGCGCCATGGCTGCGGGGGCAGAGAACGTGGAAGGGCTACCTCCTCTGCTCGTCATCATAGACGCGTGTAGAGACGAGGCGCAAGGGAGGGAGAGGATCGAATCAGAGAGAACCAACAGGACTAGGAGCATGAAAGTTTCGCTCTTCTTGTCATGCAGCAGAGGTCAGAGAGCAGATGATGAGTCAGCATTCCTCAGGGACCTTCTCGACAAGGAGCATGGGATGTTCGCGCGGAACATGAGGCTAAAGCAGGCCATCGAGCATGCTATGCTTGAAAGTCTCCGCAGAGAGCAGGTGGCAGTATCGTTCTGCACTGTCTTCATCCCGGAGGGCTTGTGTATCAGGCCGGACCCGACGGTCCCAAGAGACATCCAGCAGATACAACAAGGAGCGAGGAGGGTCGCGGAGAGCTCGAGGAGGCTTGAGGATCCAACAGCAGGGCCGACAAGCCCGGGCCCTGCAGCAGAGGTCGTAGCTGGATACAGCCCTGCAGCAGCTGGGACAGGAGCAGACGCGTTTCGAAGCAGCATCCTAGGCCTACTACAGGAGAGTCTTGGCAGCCTGCTAGAAGAGAGTCCGCGGTGGCGGGTGTGCTCGATGTTTGTGCTGGTGTTCCTGAGGTACGAGGGGACGAGGTACGGGACTCAAGCGACTCGCAGATACTACCAGACGCGATCGAAGAAGAGGCTTGGTCCTGACCTCATCAGGGCTGTCAACGGTCATATGAGCAGGAACGAGATCCGGTCGGAGGAGCTAGAGCAGTGGGTACAAGAGACCTACGAGACGTCGACCAGGGGCAAGACGGCGGTAGCAGCGATCGACTTTGCCGTACGCGAGGAGATCAGGAGGTCGCTCTCGCACATGCCCGAGGAAGCGAGGTCAGAGCTTCGCTTGTGGGAGGAGGACGTGCGGCTTCGAGACTTCTACGAGGGCGACATGACGGAGGAGGAGGCGCTAGACGAAGCAGAGGAGTACCTCAGGGACAAGATGACGGCAGATCAGGACGGGAGGCTGAGCCCTCTGCTCGCAGTGCACGTGCTGTCGCGGGTGGTCGAGACCGGCAGCTTCGTGACGTTTCTGAAGATGACGAGGCTCAGCTGCGCCTGCTTGTCCGTGGCGCTGGCTAAGAGAGTGAGGGCGACGTTGGACGAGGAGAGTGAGGAGGGGGGGGAGGAGGGGGGGGAGCGGGAGCAGACGGAGGGCAGGTTTCGAACGTGGGTGAGCAGCAGTGGGTGGGTGTTTGGCAGTCATGAGCACGGGGAGCTGGAGGAGCGTCTTGAGAAGGAGGAGGCGGAGCAGCTCCGATCTCTACTGGCAGGCGTAGGAGGAGACGAGGTGGGCTTTGTGGTGTTGAAGACACTAGAGGGAGGAGGTGAGAGCCGATGCTGATGAGGGAAGATGCTGATGACTAACGTGAACGTTGGCTGCCGGGGCAGGGGCGCTGACAGTCCTGGGACGAGAGCAGGAGGTCGACTCTCACGTCAGCGAGGAGCTGAAGAAGCTCTCGGTAGTGCCCGCAAGAGAGAGAGTGAGGAGGAGGGGCTGCGAGCTGACTGACTTGCGACTCGAGGTGAAGGAGAGCGGGGGGCCAACCCCTCCAGTAGCAAAGTACGTACCCCCACAGAAGCGAGGACAGCAGGCGGCGGGAGGGTCGGCGGGATGGGGAAAGCAGCCCCTGAGGGTGATCGAGGAGGCGAGTGAAGCTGAAAGCAGCTAGGCGATGAAGTTGACTGACTTGCTCTCTCCTGCAGTCAAGACCGCCAGCCGCCTCCGAGTTCACCATGATGTCATTAGGTGGAAAACGTCTCGGAGACCCTGATGACATTCGGAGCGATGACGCTCAGTCTGTTGCTGGGAGCGATGCTCTTTCACAAGCCTCTACTGCCTTGCACTCGGACTCTCGGAGCAGTGACGCTCGGTCTGTTGCTGGGAGCGAGTCAGCCCTTTCGCAAGCCTCTACTGCCTCGGTCTCTTCGGCTTCTTCTCGAGAGGGACAACAACGATTTTTGTCCGTACTCCTCGACAAGCCGGAGCTGTCGGAGGCTCTCAAGCCCTTTGACAACATCTTACCGGGGGACACGTGGGAGGACGTGAGGGGCAAGGTGAAGTATGAGGACGTGGTGAAGGTCGGCAAGGCTTTGATGAAGGAGGCGGAGCTGATAGCCGGAGACTTCAAGACGCTGATGAGGAGCAAGGAAGTCGAGAAGCTCCTCGAGTCCTCGGAGAGGCCGACGGACGTGAAGGACTTCGAGCGGAAGATCAACGCGAAGTGGGGACCGGGGGACAAGCAAGATGGGCCCTACAAGATCTGGGCGAAGATCAGGACTCGGCGAGAGCTATACTTGAATGAGTTCTCGTCGACCGAGAAGCGACAAAAGCACCTGATAGTCGCTATGGCGTACCTGTCGACTTTCAACTGGTGCTTGACGAGCAAGCCGGGGAAACCTTTCGAGTATGCTCTGCCGTCGGATCAGAAAGCTTTGTAGGTTGGCTAGTAGCAAGTGGGTTGACCGGTTCAACTTTTGGGTGGCCCTATGTATCACTCAATCAAATCTTCACGAGGATCAGATGGCCGCCCACCACTGCTGCCACTGTACTAATTTTTTACTTGACTTTCGACTTGACTTTTGAGTAAACAAATGAAATGATGTCAAACAGTGAGTTGGCTGAACTCACTTGTTAGGAAACTCGATCCAGTGTTGACACACGAAGTGATCCCCGGTCAAGAAACTCAGAACAAGCGTGTGACAGCGATGCACAATCCAACGGTACTTTATTCCAAACCGACGTCAGAGATAAAGAAAAGTAAGTAATCTAATTTCCTAAGTTGAAACGAGACTGCCTAGGATATCTACTTAAACAAAGACGAAAAGTCAGTAAACATATCCTATCATTTCGCTCCCTAGCGCTGATAGATGAGAACACACTTCTCAGCTCGTACTTCGCTGCAAACGCCAATAATCTTTACTCGAAATCACGAATCATTTTCCTCAACTCTGGAGTCCGAAATTCACGTGTAGACAACCAAGAATCATCCGACGACTTGTCATATCCTTTCCAACGAACCAGGTACTGCACACGATTACCTTTGCAACGACGAGCCAAAATACGATCGACCTCGAAATACTGTCCATTTCGTTGAACTAGAGGCAAAGGTGGAGGTTCAGCATCATCCAGGGAAACATCTCGAAAATAGTAAAGACGAAGTTTCGCCACGTTGAAAACTGTTTTCTTCATGTGCTGAAAACGCGGTGTGAACTCCAAGCGCACAGAATTATCCGAAACTTTCTCTGGTATCTTGAAAGGTCCAATGAAACGAATTTTCATCTTGCCTATAATCTCATGCAGCTTCAAATCACGCGTTGACAACATAACGAAGTCGCCAACATTGAGTTGTACTACCGTAGATCATCGGATCCTTCCTAGATTTCTTCATAGCCTTTTCCTTCTGAATTGCTGACAACGTAAACGCGTCACGTACTTCTTCCACGTCCTGAGCTCGAACGGCGTAAGATTCGTCGCATCCCTAACGGTCGCCGGTGATTCCAAATTGTCTACAGATGTACGAGATAATCATCCCCAGAGTGACTTGCTGTAATCGAGGCTCATAACCGACGGAATACAAGTTTGTTAGACTTGTACTACTACTCACATCGACCTTAGTTGTAATCGGACAGTTTTTGCTCAAGACCGAGTTTAATGCACACAAAACTTGAAACCAGAATTGAGGAGCAGATGAGACATAGACCGAGTCGGTATGCAAGGATGTGAAACCCCGGAAGCATCCGATCCAGACATAAGAGGACCTTAGCAAGACGGCTTGAAAGACGGTACATGCCGCCTCCGAGTCGAAACACCGTCAGTCGTCTTGGTTTACAGGAGAGTTTTTGTTAACAGGCTCTCTTATCTTCTCTCCTCAGCCTCTCTTATCTTATCAGGGCCTCCTGCTCTCGTCATTGCATCCGCTCGCCAGGCATCTCCCTTATTTCTGCACTGCACACCGTTGGCATCTAATAGCGGCCGCTGCCTGCATGACTGGGAAAATCTTGACTGTAAACTTGACGTTGTATCATACGGTATCTTGACTTGGAGCTGCTGGCCGGGCCCGCCGCCTCTTGTTTGTGTGCCAGTCTTTCAAGTCAAGTTCTGACGTCCGATGTCACGAGCCTCCGAGGCTATCATATTCCAGGTCAAGTCGGGGGGAGGATCGGATGGGCCGCTGAGCGTATGCCAGCCGTGCCAGTCAGATAGCGCCGAGTTAACAAAAACTCTCCTGTAAACCAAGACGACTCGGACGTGTTTCGGAGGCGGCATGCGGCGTGTGGGACGAAGAGGGGGCTTTCCTACCGTCTTACTAAGGCGGGGGGGCCCCTCATGCCAGGCTGGCCCGGATGCTTGGGTTCTGCCCCGGATTCACAATCGTAGACGGTAAGGTCAATGTGACTCAGTGATATCAGTATCTGCCGCCGTGACTTTGGACTAGCCTAGTAGCCTAGTCTCGATCCTGGCATCCGGGATCGGCCGGGCCCGGGCCCATGATCCGAGGACGGTCACCCGGGCCCAGTGAACAGCGGCGCCCCGGCGGCAACAAGTTGCGGCGCCCCCCCGCGGCCGGGCGACGGAGCCGGCGGGCCGATGAACCTGACTGATTACCGAGCCGGCCAGCAGGGGCCACGCCCGGCTGGCCCGGCGGGGTCCAGCCTGCCGGGCGGGCCTGGCCGCCGCCCGTCCGATCCGATCATCGACTCATCCGATGAAGTCCGAGTCCCGGATTGGCAAGTTGGCAGGAATCGAATCAAACCGGGAGACTTGAGTAAAACCGAAACCTTGACTTAGCCGACCAGCGATGCCACGTTCCCCATCGTCAAATCCCCACCTGCTCCTGTTCCTGCTCCTGCTCCTGCTCCTGCTCCTGTACCTGCTCCTCCACCTGCTCCTGTACCTGCTCCTGCTCCTCTACCTGCTCCTGCTCCTGCTCCTGCACCTGCTCCTGCTCCTCCACCTGCTCCTCCACCTGCTCCTGCACCTGCACCTGCACCTGCACCTGCTCCTGCTCCTGTACCTGCTTCTGCTTCTGCTTCTGCACCTGCACCTGCACCTGCACCTGCACCTGCACCTGCTCCTGCTCCTCTACCTGCTCCTGCACCTGTACCTGCGCCTGCTCCTGCACCTGCTCCTGCACCTGCACCTGCTCCTGCTCCTGCACCTGCTCCTGCTCTTGCACCTGCTCCTGCACCTGCTCCTCTACCTGCACCTGATCCTGTACCTGCACCTGCTCCTCTACCTGCTCCTCTAGCTGCTCCTCTACTTGCACCTGATC